CCAGGGGCCCTATAGCTTTGCAGTTCGAGGAATGCTAATGCGTCTTCGTGCTGAAAGACGAGGCTGCATTCTTGTATTCCCAGTTCGCGAGGTAGCTGCTTACGTGGCCTAACTTGCATGCACCGAGTGCATTTTTCAGGAACCGGAGGTCAGGAGAAGTCCAGATGAATGGTGGAAGAGATGCTCCAGGTCTCTCTTGCTCCATTTGCTCCTTTCCTCCCCACCCCACAGGGAGAATAGGGTTGGACGGGGCACGGCTTTCTCATCCCATAACATTTTTCAAGAAGAATCGAGAAAATGTCCATTCTGCATGAGAGTTTTTAAAGGCTTTCTGTGAAAAACAAGCAGAAGCCCCCGTGCCAGAGAGACGATCGGGCGTTTGGGAGCTCACCTGGCATTTGGGGAACCAGGCTCAAATCCCGACCCTTCCACTTCCCCGTGTCGCAGGTGAACAACCTTACCACCAGCTCCTCCAGGGCTGACCTCTTTCTCGTTGGACCGGCTTCACTTTCAACAGAGAATTATTCAGCGAGAGATAACCTTGAAGCTCCCGCCTCCCAAGTACATGCATTCACTGAGAGGCTCCCCGGTCTTGCTCTCTGGCTCAATGAAACCCAGGGCGTGGGGAGAGCGGGGTGGACTGCGGTGCAGCTCTTCAGCCCCCCGGCTCCAAGGGTGTCCCCCATCATGCTCCAGAGAGCATGCGTACGTAGCCCGAGGGGCTTTCATTTTGAAGCACTTCTAAATAGTACTGGTTTCCTTCAGAACCATTTTAGGGTCACTTAGGCTGTTTCTGGGGCGCTTCAAAGGGTGTGTGCATCTCCTTTAAAGCGCTTCAAAAACACCTGAAGTGCTTCAAATGCTACATCTCCCCATACCCCGACATAGCCACTTCAGTGCCGGCCACCCTGATGTAGCCACTTCAGTGCAGTAGATCTGCTGCATGGGTACAGTACTCCTCAGTGAGAAGCTCACGTCAGATCCACCCTCGAAGACAGGAGCGATTATTTTGGGTGGAGGGGCACTTAACTGAGTTTTGGCAAGCCACCAAAGGCCGCATGACAGGCAGCCAGGGGCAGATAAATATTAATTTTCTAAATTTTTTAGGGGTCCCACGGGCCGGATGGAACGGCCTGGAGGGCCGCATCTGGCCCACGGGCTGCATCTTGCCCACCCCTGCTCTAAGCATCTTTAGGGGTGTGAAATTAAGGAAAGCCGAGCTCACAAAGTGCATGATGCACACAAGTGGAGGGGTTTTTGCCCCATTACTGTTGCAGACCAGTTACACCAAGCTGACGAAAGAACACAGGCAAGTCCTTGCGCATCTAGAGATCGCTCCACGGGTTCAACTGAAGCAACCAAGAGGCGACCGAGCAAAAGACTGAAGCAACCAAGTGGCTGCCTCACTCCAACTTTGCCTGAAAAAGCTCAGAGGGGCTGTCCCTAAAGCACGGATGTCAAACTCATTGGGTCCTGAGGGCTGGATCTGGACTGAAGGGTTGGACCTGGGCTGCCAGATGAGTCCTACATCTGGCAGCAGAGCGAGTGGCGGTGGCATTAGCCTGCATGGCTGTCAGAGCTGCTGTGCTGGTGCGGCTCCAGAATCAAGGGAGTTCATGCGGCCACCACTTGCCCCCCACTTTCTCCCTGATACTAATTTTAGTTGCAAACAGCAACCCAAACCCCACATTTCAGCAGCAGATAAGAGAGAAGAGAGAGAGTGGCATTAACCTCTTGGGCTCCCGAGCTGCATCAACTCAGCAGCTCGGGCAACTGCAGCCACAAGCCCTGTGGACCCTATCCCACCCGCAGAGATGGGTTGTCCAGCCTGCAAGAAGCCCTACAACCCCGATCATCTGCCCCACATGCCGTATGTTCGGCACCCTTGCTGTTAAGCATGTTCTCCTGGGAGCTGTGCATCTGTTCTGTTCACTGCGATACTCCAAGAAGGACAGGCTTTCTGCTTACAATCTGTATTTCCAAGCTTGTTTTGCAGTTTAATACAACAAATCTGCGGTCTTGTATAATGTCACGTCATGTTACTGCGTGCTATTTATCAGCAGCGGTGCTCCACCCTAGAGTTGGCTGCCCTTCAGGAACAGGTAACGTGATTTTTGTGGTTGCAAAGTCTTTAAGACACCGCAAGGATCCTCTGGGAGAAGAGCTGCTCTCTGACACAAGATGTGTGCTATTGATTTCCTTAGCTCACAAAACCCCTCTCCTCTCTTCTGGTATGGCTCTCTCCCTGTACGTATATGGTCCTCGTTTATTTTAAGTCGAGTCCTAGAAAAAATGTGTTAAACGAAAAAGGGAATCTTGAAGTCTTCAAATGTGGTTTCTGAAGCATGCATGTCGCTCCCAATCCTGGTGACGCACGGTTCCCTCACTGAAATCAAACGTTATTAGACAAGCGACTGAACCGAAGACAACTTAATCCAGACGGCAGAATGCAAACTATGCAATGCCTGTTTACAAGGCTCAGGGCCCAGTTTAGAAAAGGCAAAGCATTTGCTCAAGTCCCAGCGACTTCAAGCATTTAGAGCGAGTGCTGTGCTGAAGCAAAGTCTTAGACCCAGACACAACATCTCTACTCCTTTCCCTGCTGCGGGGAAGACAGATTGAAGTCAAAGATGACCGGAGAATAAACCCTAGCCTGATATATAAAATGATGCGGGCCAGAGCTTTGTTTTGGGCCTGCTGCTTTTAACATGGTTTTGCTTTTTGACAAGTTCTCCTGGTCTTTCACGACACGTCTTCATTTATTTCCACCAGTGCTGAATGGTTTTTGTTTCATTGATGGTGCCTTCAGGTTTGCACTGGGATTACCAGGCAGCGATCAACACCGCTGTGTTAAAGGAACGGTGTATGTACTGATCCCACCGCTCGGCAGCACACGGACCTCCTACTGATCCCAGCGTGGCCGCCTGCCGTCCGGAGCTCTGCTTCTGTAGGAGAAGCCAAGAGGACAGAAAACCCCAGATGACTTCAGCTGTGAGCCGGAGGCTCCGCGGCCGACGGGAGGGAGTCCCGGTGCGCTGAGCGTTGGCCTGTGTTAGCAGAAGGGAAGTTGTGTTTGTTTTCCCAGCTGGATGTTTATCTGGCACTTCAGCAAGGCACTGACACCAAGCACAAATCAAGACATGCACTAATAAGGAGGTGGTGGGAAGGGAATAGATGCCGACTTTGCAGAAAAAGGGCCCTGCAGAAAGACAACCGGAGAAGGACCCATCAATTAGACCCCACCAAGATTAACCATGAGAAGGAAAACTATTACTGACCATCTGTTATGGTTTTTTATGAGCTTTGGCCGTGCAGTTGGTGGCTGGAAGGGATGAGGCCATGAGAAAATGCTCACAACATCAAATCCTGGTTCCTAGTTGCTCATGGACGATGATAATTGTCCAGGTGACTCTTCCACGCCAGCCGTAAACTGGAACTGGTTTGCGTTCAGAAACGAATGGAAGTTCCTCTTGCTAGATTTAGGACCGAACACAGCCAGTTCCAGACATCGAGGGGTCCTGCAGACGTATGGGGATGCTGCTCCAACGTGATGCCATTACAGCGTGCCAGAGCAGACTTGGTCAATCGTGTCTGCTGGAGTGTGCTAATTAGTGCTCTCCAGCAGCACCCACGTCTCGTGTGTTCAGCGTCCCACACTTCAAAATGGCGGTGGGGGCACTTTAACTAAAACTCGTCAAGTGTGCTAATTAGCGTACGCCAGCAGCATCCATGTCTTGTGTATTCAGAGTCCCTGTGCTTCAAAATGGCAATGAGGGGCACTTCAACTAAAACTTGTCAAGCGTGCTAATTAGCGCGCGCCAGCAGCATCCATGTCTCATGTATTCAGCACCCCTGTGCTTCAAAATGGCGGTGGGGGCACTTTAACTAAAACTCATCAAATGAGTTTTAGTTAAAGCGTTCTTACTGCCATATTGAAGTGTGGGACACTGAATACACAAGACGTTACGGGCACTTTAATTAGAGCAGCTCTCAGAGCCGCTCTAATTAAAACTGTGCCCACCCAACCCCAGAGCACATGTAAAGACACCCCAAGACCTCAAAGTCTTTGGGTTTAAAAGATCAATACTAGTCATGAAAGGACACATTTTCATTCCAGTGAGTCAAGTCAGCCGGGCCTTCAACCAGCCACGAATGCAGCCAAGCAGACTGAAGCTGGGGCCTTCCCCTCTTGTGCATCTGGAGGCTAACGCTGCCTTTCAGTGGGGTTTGTACATCCCCACTGGCTAACTTAGACCCTGCCATGCAGGCACATCCTGAGAAAGAGGAGAAATGTTTCTAAAAATGGGCATAACTGAATATAGGACTACACGCATCACAGCAAGACAGAATACAAGTCAGGCAGATACCCAAATCAAGCATGCTAATGCCCCAACATGATTTTAAGTTTAACCCTGGGTTCCTAACACCTGCTTTCGGTCTAATTACATTATGCCTGTAATGTTCTTTGCCCTTAATTACTGGCACAGAAATACTGATTTGTACGCCCCAGCTTCATTCCAGTTTACTGTAGGTTTTATCTGGGAAGCACCTAGAAGACTGAGCAAAGTCCTAGGCCGCATTGCAGTAGGCACCATGACCCACAGAAACAGACACTTTTTGCCCTGGATACTCTCTACAACCTAAATAAACAGTGTAGACAGGATGGCATAGGGAACAGATACAGAAGAGCAGTGATGTGGCTTGCCCACGGGCATGCCGGAGGTCAATGGCCAAAGAGGGAGTAGAACCCAGGTCTTTGAATGTAGTGACGGTGCCACCACTCCAAAAGGTCACGGCATTTTTTTTTGGAACGATTTATATGCTAAGTGGATGAAATCGACCTTCTGTACCCCAAATGACAGCCCGGTCCTACAGTCCTGAGTGCGCTCATACAGTCACGTCTTTCCTCCTCTCACGGAACGATCCTGGGGTAAACTTCACCATGGAGAAGGCTCTGTTGAGCGGGGCCCGGAGAGGGAAGGGGCGCATCCCCTACTCACCGTCGACAGGGCTGAGGTAATCGTGAAGATGTGCCGCGCCGGCCGCTCCCCCGCTCTGCATCAGGAGGTCCCCGTAAGGGTTCGGATGGCTGGCCATGAGCGTCATCTGGTGATAGTACTCAGCTGGGTTGGCTCCTGGAGGAGGTGGGGGCAAGCCAAACAGGCCTCTCTCTTTCAGATGCTCGTGAGCCACTGCAGAGGGAGAGCGAGGAGAAAAACATGGAGAAAACATCCTCGCAGCGAGCAAAACTTCACCAGTGATGTCAGCCCCGTCCCCCCTCCACCCCCTTACTCCCAACTTCAAGCCCTCTTGCTACAACTCAGTTTGGTGCTTTCGTGACGTGCGTATGGGCGTGTTTCTGCGGACAAAAGACACGAAGCTGGGGCCTCTGCATTCCTCCATTTCCGCAAATTTATAAACAATCTCTCGTTCCTCCTTCTAATAAACCTCCCGTACAACAACAGCCTCCGCCATGGGGGAGGGGGATAGGGCCCGATCAACGAACAGCAGCAAGGCTGTCAGCATCGACATTCATGCCTATTAGGTAAGAAAGACAAATACAGCCCAGTTTATGATGGCAGCGCAAAGAAAATTAAAGCGGAGCCCTAATGCATGGAGCTAGGTTTAGTGTCTGGCAGCATAAAACCATTCTGGCTGCCAAACCCAATTACACTCACTGTCTCCCAGCTGTAATGTTTCAAACCATGAACTTATTTACTGTGGCCTTAAACACATATACACCCTCCCCCCCGCCCCGGATGGCTCTTTTTAATATCAAATAATGAAAATCATTTTGCAAAGGACAACAAATAAGCATGTGAACAATCAAACTTCTCTGCTGTGTGCTGAGAGCAGAGGCTTGGAAGCTGAACTCGTGCCAGGGTGAAGCCCGTGGGAGTAGCAAACCCAAATTAACAGGAACAGAAGAGCCACAATTCAAGGGACGTGAGCACATCCATCCAGAGTGCTTAAATGGCCCCAGTTACAATGGCATCTAAGCACATCAGAGACCTCATAATCTTTTAATGCATTTACTATGCAAAACTGTTGTGTGGTACAAAAGAGCTATTATCCCCATTTTACAGATAGCAAATGGGCAGACTAACGGTAGGGCTATCCAGTGGTGCTCAGTCATGCTGCTCCCTGCCCACCTGCTCCTGTTTTATGGGAGTCAGCCCTGGAAACGAGGCAGTGCATCCTTGGCATTGTCCTCAAGGTTGGTGGTGTGCTTGAGAATAGCAGCTTGGGGCACCCCAGGGCACCCTCATCGTGGGTCTGATGCATAGGGAGTGGGAGGGAGCACAACTGTGGGGGAAGTGACCACAGCTGCTCCCTTGATGGGGGGCCAAGTGCAAAAATTGCCACAACTATAGCAACAGCTAATCATGGCTCTGTGGTCAGCACCCTGTCGCATGACCGCCCCGGGCACGGAGCAGACAAGTGGCCAAATCCGTATGGAGGAAGCGGGCACGGATCTTGTTTTCTCAGCAATGTGACTGACTTAGCAATGTGACCCTAACCCTAACCCTGCTCCCACAACGTAGACAGGCCATACATGATTTGCCACGATCACCGAGGCAGCTTGAAACGGAGCAGAAAGTTGAATTCAGGGCTAATTCAGGGCTAATGGTAGCACCCTTAGCACTGAGTCATCCTTCTCCTCTAGGTCTTGGGACCCCCTGCCTCAACGGTCACCCTATCACACCTCAGCAGGGTGGGAGACAGCAAACTGATCCATTATAGCATGGCCCACAGCTCGACATGCTTGTGCTCCACACCGTTCACCATGCTGCCTTCGCGTCCCATCCAGAAATCACATAATGGGACATTTGTGCTGGCACTGGGGATCTCCGGTGGACCAGTTTATATTCCACCTTAGTTCCACAATGCACCGGGAGATCGATTGGGGGCTTGTGAATGAAACCCCAGCATGGGTGTATATCAGGCATGCTTTATGGACTCCCCTGATACCTTTTCCTTCTGCAGCCAGAGAGAGACCCTGGGACATGCCTACCTCATATACACCAGACTGTGGCCCCTCTACCCTCCTCGAGAACTTCCTACTGAGGTCCCGGCTACATTTTTCCCCACACCTTTCATTTTATACACACCTCATCCACAAAGTCCCAGGACCTTCCAATTAACTTCTTTTTGGCCCTGGCCAACCTCTCCATCCACCAGACTGGGAAGGAGGTGCTGGCCAGAGAGAACCTGAATGACTGTGGGGCTGTCTTCCTATCCCTCTGCCCGTGCACGTCTCCGAGAAGAGTTTCACCGCGTGGCTTCACACCTCGGTATCCTTCTTCAGCATCTTAGTTATTACCTTATAATCTACACTCCTGTTCCTTTCTTATATTTGGCCCCATGGAGTTAGTTGTACATTTGGTGGCCTCTCTCCAGCCCGAGGAGGGCTTGTCATTCCAGATGAACCTGGGCCCACCATCAATGTATAACAAATAGGCCTTCCTCTCTAGGCATGCACCGTCAACATTTCATGCACACTCTTTTACAACTGATCTCCCAAGAAAATATTCCCGATTTACATCACTGCAGTGGAAAACAGAACCAGACTGATTCAATGGACTGGGGCAAATCCTCTGTGGGTGCAAAAGCTGGCATTAGTAGAGAGTTTGGCTTCCGAAAGGCCACATCTGTATTTCAATGGCTTCTGAAATGCTTTCGGGAACAGCACCTGCTTTGTGTTTCTCCCCTTTCATACCTCAAATACAGGGATTTTAGCATAATTTAAACTCGGTCTGCTTATGCGAGGTCTCGGCTTGCTGAGCTAAGGAAGAGGGGAGCTGTACTGAATCAAGCCTGAAGCTTGGGAGCGTCTGGGTTACAAATGTGCAATAGGGCCTGCAGACTCGGTGCATCAAACACTAGGCTTTCATAACCCCTCTCCTTGGCAAGGAAACATAGAGGACTGGAAATACGAAGGAAGGAGGTCTGCAGGCTCCTCTCTTCTTTACATTAAGATATCTGTCGCATGAGAGGGGTTAGGAGCAGGCGGCCGTGTTGCAGTGGCTACAGCAGCGTACCTTTAAGAAGTTGGTGAGCCCTTTAGCAGGCCCCATCGTTTTCGATTGCAGGAGCCATCCAACCCCAACAGAGCAGCAGTGTGTACACACAGCAAAGCCTTGTATGTTTGTACCCAACATGAGCAGACCTGGTTGTTTGGGACCCAAAAGTGTCTCTGGGATTGCCTCCTATTTTTTACGTGCGTGGAGAGTGAAGACACAACAAACACTCGGAGCAACTGCGGGACTGTCGGAGGGCGATGGGACTCCCAGGGGGACCCAGCGCCAGCAAAGCTCATCAGAGAGTCAAGACTGCAGTAAAACAGAGCATAGCTTTAACCAAAATATTTACGATGCGAGCCAACACCCATAGCTATTCTCACGCTCGGGTTTTTCAATGCAGTGATGCAAACCAAATGTAGAGTTACAGACTGGTGTGGGGGGGAAGTGGGGGAGGAATATGGCTCGCCCACTTCACAGAGCAGCTGTAGACCTTTCGCAGCTGCAGATCCTTGGGTTTCAGTGAATTTGGGGCTGGCGAGCAGCCCCCGATCTACGACGCAGAGACTGCACAAGCAGCCGCACAGCCAGCCCACCAGCATAGCGCCAGCCCCCCCCACCAGCCCCACTCCCCCCATCAGCCTCGCCTAAAGGAGAGGATTTCTAGGGCTACGCTCCTTTGCCTTTCATTCTAGGAGGGGGCAACGTGGCTGGGGAGGAGGCACAGGTCAACAGGAACCGATCTAGGATCTCCATCCTTTCTTTGAAAAGCTACCAGACGGCCGGCGGTCGAGATGAGGCGCAGCACTTACCGTCCGCGGGGCTGAGGCCCCGGGCAGCGGAGATCATGGAGAGGGTCGGGCTGCTGTGCACGGAGCGGAGGTAGTGTTCCATGTGGGGGCTCACGTAGGGGTGAGGGGGGTTGAACGGCGACTCACCGGGTCCTGCCGGGTGAGGAGAAAGGCGAATGAGGGAGATGTCGGAGATAACGGGGCTGCCACTCAGGGCAGGAGGCCTGCGGAGGAAATGAAACATATATACTGTCAAGTTCTTTCCAAGTTTGCCAGCATCTCTTCAGGCCTTTAAAAAAAAAAAAAATTTAAATCAGAAAACATGACTTCTGGGTTCTTTCCCAGATCCAACTTGCTGCCTGACCTGATGCAAGTCATTTCAGTGACTTGCGCCTTTGCTTTTGCCTTCTATAACATGGCTGCAAGCTGGGCAATAGGAAGATAAACTATTGCCATCACCGAATGGGCTGACTATGCGTCATGCTGGCAACAGCTAATAAAGAGGATCTTTATTAGCGGTGGAGGAAGATGACGCCCAGCAGCTATTGTAAGCTTCGCTACTGTCATAGCACGTGATGCTGTGATAGGTAAGACGTCGTGCCGTCACAAATTTGCCACCCACCCTGACATCACGGGGATGCTGGGAGTGGTTTCAGGCATGCTTGCTCTGTGCACTGAGGTCTCAGGGCTAAGCCAGTGCCAGGGCCCATTATTGCCCTTGTCAAAGGTTTTGTTCTTCCAGTTGTAGACTTGAGATGGAAGATACAAGCCCACTGCCATCTCCTGCTGAGAGGGAAGGGACAGGCCAGCCTTGGTTCTCTTGTGAACCTGCTCACAGTAAGGATACAACGCTGCTCAGGGCGAGGAAGATGGAAAGGAAAAGACCAGCGAGCAGGACCTTAGAGGACAGTTATCTGCTGGTCCACAAGTCAGGAGGATGGACAGGACAGCCAAAGGCAACAGACACAAGGAGCAATCGTAAGGCCTTCTCCACAAGCATGCAGGTGTGTGTGCTAAGGATGCCTTTGTGCACGGCAGCTTGCTCTATTTTAGGAGCTGCATACCTCACATTTAATGCACATTTGGAGCATCTGGAAAGGGGCTTAAGCTAGTGTGCTGCCAAGTCGAACCCTGATTCACCTCCCTCTGCGGAGACAAGCTCTACGTTTCAGGCAGGGGTGTGAGACACGGAGGACAAGCTGCCGGTGCTATTAGCACCCATGGACACAAAGGCAAGAAGCTCCAGACTGGGTTGTGATTCCTGCTTGGCCAAGGGTGGCTTTGAATGACCATTTACTCTTTGAGAGCTCTTCTGTCACTTGCCACGGACAGGACACTGTCCGTCAAAGGAGGTCGCAGCTGCCACAGTCACTGTGTCAATATAGCGGTTCTCAACCGGGTGCTGCAAGCTCCTTCTGAGGGTATAAGATAAGCGCTCAGGCCCTATGCAAGGAGGTAAGGGGAGGCTCGTCTCTACCTGGCTCCAGTGCAAAGGATGAGGACAGAAGCTCACTCATCGACCCTGTGTGAGAGGTTAAGGGCTTACTCCACTCTCTCTATGCAAGGAGCTAAAGCACAAGCTCCTCTGTGCGGGCTCCAGTGCAAGGAGGGAAGATAATGATTATGGAGGGCTGCTGGTGGCATACAAAGGATGAGGACCACTGAAGTAGTAGTGCAGTAGGTTTGGGAAGGAGGAGTATTTAAAGTGGGGAGTGATTAGATAAAGTCCCTGCTTTCTGTCCCATACATTGGGCATGCAGAGCTGTTCATTTTTATCCCCGGAAAATACCAAGTGCTAGAAATGCTGGTGAGGGAGGGAGTGTACAGACATTCAAACCTGAAATCACCCCTTCTTTGTTGCCCTGGTAGGACCCTGGTCAAGGGAAGGCTGGGGGAGGAGGGAGCATCTCAATTCCTCCCGTGATCAGGAGGCGTTGAGCTGAATGTCCCCGTGCCTTCCCCGGACAGGGAGAAGCTCCTGCTTAAATCCTCTCGAACACGGGAGGAGTTGAGTGGAAGTGTGCGGGCGCTCAGTCTGGCACGAGACATTTTCACTCAGGAGACATCTCCCGAGGTGCAAAGCAGACTGTAGTCTCCCTCTGAGTGAATAACCTCTCCCAGAAAGACCTTTTCAATCCTCATCAAAACGCATGTATTGGATTTCAAAAATCAGATTTTAATTTGCATCATTGGGTTCCACCCAGCCACAGGATTCAATCTCACCATCCTTGCCCGGGCAAAGTCCCCACTGAAGTGAGACTTCTCCTGGAGAAGAGACCCAGTAATTTGGTAGATGGCCATGTCTTCCTACAACAATAACTGGATGCCTAATTCAATGCAGAAGCAGCTGCTCCAGGAGTAACAAGGGTTGAAGGATGCCACCACAAGCTTCCAAACCTACTTAGATACCTCGGTAGCAATAATGCCAGCTACACTTGCTCTACAGTTTTGTTCCCTGTGATAAAATACAGGTCTGAATTTTGCTGGCTGGTAGTCCCAATCTCGAGCACCTTCATAGGCCATGAAAAAAGGAGCTCCTCCAAGCAAAGCTGACAGTGCAAGTAATTTTAACATTTTGATCTGGTATCCAAAGTGCTCATGATGCTGAATAGAGAGAAAAAAGCTACAAGCCACGCCTTGAGGGGTATACAGTCAAGGCTAGATACCAGAAATGCCATCAGACCAAAAAGAGTGAAGTCTGCATCTTGTTAGAGCCCTTTTCAACTACATTTAGATTTAATTAAGGTTGGTGTAGAAATGTTGGGACCATTGCTGAGGACAGAACGTGTCACTGATTGTGGGTTTGGAGGAAGACTCTGAAGCAGGAGGAAGCCGGTTTTGTTGCATGTGGATTCCAAGACCAGGCACACCGGGCAGCGTAAAAGTGTGGAGCTGCTTGCAAATAAAGGGCCCCAAGGATCGATGGGATTCAAGGCTAGAAAGAGTATAAAGTTGTGGACACGTGACAATTACGACGGAGCAATTTACCCGGAGTTTGCTCTGTAAGAGAGGTGCTCAACCCCCGGCCCAAGGAGCCATGTCATCTGGCCCACCAGGCTCTCCGTGGTTCCAGAAATTTGGTGGTGGGGAGCAGTGGCACAGCACTGCTGCTCATCTGCTGCTCAGTTTGTGGACATCTGGGGAGCTAGGTGGGCCGGACAGAGTGGTTGTGCACGCTACATCAAGCGCGCAGGTCTGGGGTGACGTGAAGCTCCATCTGGGTGCACGGGGCCAGGCTGAGGTAATGCAGAGTCTGATTGGGGTGACCCCAAATTAGGCATGGGAGGTCAAACTGCGCGTACGACCCCTGCAGGCGAGACAGCCTGAAGACTAGCTCTGTGCCACTCGTTCACCCTGCGCGGCTGAAACATTGAACACCGCTGCTCTGCAAGAAGGAGCCGACGCATGGCCAGTGCTCTTGAACAAGATATGCTTACAGGTCTGGCCACGGGGTGGCAGGAGAGCCGGTTCACACTGAGTGGAGAGCTGCCCCGGAAATTAAACTTATGCGGGGAACTTCTATATCCCATCTAGTCGCGTTCGTAGACATTTCCCGAGGAGTAACTATATTCCGGATAGGAGTGATTTATTACAATGCAGAGCCGTGCATATGTCTGCTTCGCTCTTACTATATGAAGTCACTTTACCTTGTTCCAAACATCTTGCGTCTGCACCTGCAGTGGGCTAGTGGTGGGCAAGCGATAGGATGGGACTCGGGCTGTTTTATGAAGGACTCTGCATCCAAATGGTCAGATATGCCATTGCTGAGTGCATGAAACTCTCTCCCCATCTGTACATACGTGTGCAACCACAAGAGTGAAGCTCGGTGTTTGGACACCGAGAACCTCAGGATACAGATTGTGCCCTATACTAGCAACTGTTCAGATGCATTTTCATTTATTTCTAGTATCACCAAAATGACATGTAAACCTAACAGAAGCCTTCCAGCCTTATCCAGCAATTTAAGGGGGTGTTTGTCTTTCTTTGAGCATCTATGGGCTTCTCTTTGTCTTTCTGATAAATCAGTAAACCCAGCAGGCCTTTGAACACCTTTTGCTGACGTGCAATAAATTAAATGTCTTTTAAAATATTTATAGTTGTAAGTACTCTCTTGTAGTGATACAATCTGTGGCTCAACAAGGTAAAACACAGGGCAGTAAAGACCTATCATTTATAAGCATCAGTATCCAAAACACACACGTTTGCACACTTTTGTCAGAGCGGCTCCTAATTTTTCTCTGGTGTAACTGAGAGCAGACTCAAGTCCATTATATTTTATAGCTCTGAAAGACAAACTTATGATTGCATGCCTATTTCAAACCTCATAACCTCCCCACCTGCACTACTATGTCATTTTGTTACCAAAATTATGTAGGCAACTTAAGTCTCTTTCCAAAACTGCCCTGTCCCAGACTGTGTGGCCCATGTGTGTAGCACGGGGCACCAAGCGGTACAACATTCCCTGTATTTCAAGCATGACATCATTTCCAACGCCCAGCATGCCTGCAGAGCTCAACGAAGCCCGGGCTTCATTTTTGGTTAATAGTCAGGATTCCTGCTAATAAGACGGCTGTTTATGAAATCTATTAATTTATTTCAGGGGTGCAGGAGGGAAGAGAAGTGAATCAAAGACTCTGTTCAAGATTTAGTTTCAATTCATTTCTAATAATCTCCGTCGCCTCATCTGGAAAATATGAAACAGGTTAAAAAAAAAAAATGATGTCATTAAGAAAACATCTGACTAATTTTTCTTCTGACGAAGCCTTAATATAAGTGAGAGGAGATGTAAATTAAAAGCAGCCCCAATCTACTCTGGCCCACGGAGCCTGCCTTAATACATAAGCCATGAAAGAAGTTTTCTTACATATACAATAAGTTCTCTCTTTCATCAGTACTCAGAGCTTCTCCCAACAGGGCTGTGAAGGTCTTTGATGCAGGCCTGAAACTATGTATTACTAGGTTTACGAGCCTTCTGAGCCTACCCTGATCAAACTGTGAGGCCGACTTCTAAAATGCATATAACAATATGCAGGACTGACTGTTCATTTTCTCCATGCTAAATTGGGCAGAAGTTTTTGGACTAGGAAAACTCCACCCCGGCCAGAAAAGGAAATGCAGGATAAAATCAACCAAGATTTTGATGATGGTGCATACAAATGGAAACCATGGCCTGTATTACTGTGCAAAATTCATCTTGGGTCAGAGGAAAATGGACCGACTCTCA